GCTGTGCGGGCTGGGGCGCCCTTAGCAGTGCCTGCGGGGCCCCGGCCTTGCCCGCAGGGGTGAGCTCAGTGCCCGGTTCCGCGGCGCCGGGCCCCGAGGTGGGGTGTGCTGGAGGGCTGAGGTGGCGGCGGAAGCTGGGGCTGGGAGCAGGCGGGTGGTCCCCTTTCCTGCCTGCTGCATAGGCGTCTGGTTGCAGCCTCACCCGAGTCTTTCAGCTCTGCCTTTTTCTTTCCTCCACCGTGTAATTGAACCGAAATTGGGTTATGACCGCTTGGACGTGCGGGAAGCTCTAGCTATTACAGGTGTAGAGGTATTTGCTTATTCTGGAAGGGCGGATGGCTTTAATGATGGTGGCACGTTTCACTGATCGGGAGTTGCTGGTCTACAGCTGTGATCTCGGTGGTAAATCTAGGTGACCTGTTAAACTTGAAAAAAAAAACCAAACAACAAACATTTTTCTACTGGAGAGAATTAACTAAACTTGGTGCCTCCTTGAAGACGCGTATTATTTCTCTCTTGCTGACACTTAGCTTCTTTGTTATGAGAAGATAGCTGTATGGTTTCAAATACAGCATTTTGAAATATTTATACTTAATTGAGCATGTCAGTTTGTAATACAGAAGTTGTCATAGGTGAGTAGTTCTGTGCTCTACTGCCTTTGCACCTCATTGTATCCTTAATTTGTGACTAGTATTTTTCTACGTAGACAATAGTCCCTTATTCTTTTCTTTGCAACATATATTGAGTCTTTTGTATTTTTCTTAACCCAGTGTTCTATCCTTCCTGTAAGCACTCTGTACATACTTGTCAGAGTTTATATTATGGAAACCATACTGTGTCAAAATACTTCATAATCCCCTTCTCCTGAATCAGCTAAATTGACTTTCACTTCTCAGCAGTTTGCTGCAATATTCTGCCATCATATCTAGTATTAAAGAATATATAATCATGAAATGTATTTGAAAATCTGGTTCACAATTTCTTAGTTGGTTGTGCTTAAATGTACTTAAATGTACTTAAAAGACTTCTAATATAAACACACACCATGATGAGAAAAATCTTTGCTGTTAGCATTTTTTGAATTTTATGCTCTACAAGTTAGAAGGTAAGTTTTAAGCTTTACATGACCTAGCTGCTTTGGGCTTTTCCAGGGTGGATGGAACTACCAGATCAGAGCATCAATTTTGAGAATTAAATAGTGAAAACTGGGGAATAAAAGCTAAATCTTTTTGAGCTGCAGAGGATGTTAGTGCTAATAGCTTAATGGTCCTACAGCTGCTAAAACCTTTTGACTTAAATGTTAGTCACTATAAATAAAGTTTTTCCCCAGTACCTGCAGTGTTGGTACCTTGCAGCAGTAAACATTAGGCTGTTTAGACCATTGGAATGGAAAACTCATCAGTTTTGTATTCCTGGTAGCAGCAGAGGTTAGCACAGGAACCAGTAACAAAATGTGATCCTAACTTGCACTTGAGATAGAGGTCCTGGAAGTGTACCTTTTGCTGCAGCAAATAGAGGTCTTGATCTGAGGAAAGGATGTGAAAGGTCTGTTCCCAACCCTAGCAAATCTTAGTCTTCTCACTCACCTGAAAAAAAAATATGGAAAAGACTTGCTTGAGTGTGGATATGAAAGGAGTACAATTTAACTTTTTACTGACATGGTTCCATGCAGAATATTTTGCTTTTTTGTATCTGCTAGCTGCTGGGTTGATATTTAGGGAATTTTCATAGTTTGTTCACTGATGCTGAAATAAAATAATTTTAGCCTTGCTGAGATGTTACTCTAGCTTATAATTTAGAAAATGACTCATATCTTTGTGCAGGAAAGCTACAAAAACGAGCCGGGAACTGTATCTGGAGTGTTTGTGAATTTTACAAAATTTGTTTCTTATTTGCCATATTTTCATTCCTGATATTGAATCAATTTAGTACTCTGAGTTTTATATGGAGTCAAAATAAAGATATGCAGGTTTAGTTTGTGTAGTTCATGAAGAAATGTCATTGATAAGTAAGCCTCAGTTAAACTGAGCACTGTTGGAGCATAATGGTGGGGAGGGGATACAGCACAGGTCTTTCAAAAGATTAAAACCTTAAGATAACCTTTGTTTTCTGCTCTTATCACAGAGAATCTCCGAGAGAAAGAGCAGAGAAGTAGACTTTTTGATAGCTAAATAGTTCTTTGTTGCTAGTATTTTGTTATTATTCATTCCTCTCCAGTTTAGAGCATCCACGATCCCAATTTTTAAAACGGTGCTAAACGTACCAGCAAGCCATTCTTGCTCACTGTTATTTAAAAAACATACTCAGCATGAATAGAATGTAATTTCTGGTTCTGCCAGCTCTCCACATTCAGGCTGAGTGTTACAATCCTTCTGTTGTGAAACTTGAAATGTGATATCAAGTTTATATTTACCAGGAAAGGAGGTAAGCTAGGCGCTCTTCTGTTGTGTAATAAGGCTTTTGGTAACACCTTTAACATGAGGACAATGATGTGGAATACTGGTTAA